GCCCGATTCTATTTCTGATGGTCTTGATGTCAATGGCAACGTGGAACTGAAATCTACACTCCTAAAAGACCAGTCACCTATGCAAAAGCCCTTGGATAAACTTGAAGAAGAAGAGTCACGGCAGGCTGAGCCTGGAAGGCCGAACCTCATATATGATACTGACCGGGATCCTCAGATGAGGCTCTACATGACCAGTGTTTTGAAGTTGCCTCAGGTTCGAGAATCGGGTAAGCCCTTCTCTCTAAATAGTAATTATCATTTCAGTCAATTTTCTGAATATCACTCGTACATGAGGGTGAGCTATTAAGATAGCCAGTATCACTTAGAATGATAGTTTTCTTATTACTTCTAGTTGTTTTTTTTGTTTTTTTACAAAGTATAGACAACTTTAGCAGCGGTAATAGCGGTATAATTAGTATCAGCACCTACATTTGCATCAGGTAAAGTAACTAAGGCACTGCCAAGAATGTGACAAATAGCCTTACTGAAAGGCGAGGATTTCGCTACCTAAGATCTCCTTAGCTATCTATTATTCAAAGCAACATCGGAACTTCAGCGCTTGCCCATCAAAAGGAATAGAGAAAAAATGAATTCATTTTGTTGATATATTGCAAATTCGTGGCAATATGGATTTTAGGAACCAAAAATAGCACCTTTCAGGGCAGAGAAATTGCCTTATTTTTAAAAACAATGACTGTGTAGGCAGGCCCAGCCCTGTGCTGGTGAGATTAAGGGTATAAGATAGAAACTCTGAAATTAAAGCACGAAAAAAATTATATTTAGCCTATCACTTTGAACTTCGGCTCTAGTATGCACGGCCGATTAATGAGTGAGTGCCAAAAAAGGTACATAGCATAATTTCGTAACGTACCGACAAGTTGCGCATTTCAGCTTAACTAATACTATTAACATTCAAATATTACTGAGATGTCTCCACTTTACAAATTTAGAACATGAGCTATCACACAGAATAATATATTACTGTACATCAATTTTACTCGTAACTGCACTCCTGTGCTAGAATACTAAAATATATGGTCGCCTAGTATTATTAAACTTCTGATTCCTTCACTTTCAAATAATTGATGTTATCATGATAAGGAAAAAATTCTAGGTAATTTATATTCTCTCAATTGACGGGCTTGGCACCGAGAAAAAAATGACTGACGGCGGAAGGACGAATCGACAGGTTCAAAATAAAATAGGACAAGTAAGAAATTGTCGTTTAAGTAAAAGTACAAAAGGTCCAAAAGGTAGGACCATTTCGGCATGTTCCCATTTTCTCCTTCGCTGAAAATGAACAAATGCACTCTGCCGCTTTCACTTTGATGCGACTTTGAATCTGAGTTTGAGCATAGCCAACTTCTGATCCGAAAAAGTTTGCAGTCTTCACATACTTTTAAGTAGGTCATTTATCACAATTATTAAACTTATGTCAAAACAGACTAAAGTGTATCAATGAAATACGTACAATAATGGTAAGGATGAGACGGACAGGGATGGTTGCATTATATGATGAGCCAGTATCATCCTCAACTCTACCGTCTTAACGTTCTTTCTACTCATACATATTGATTTTCCTCGCTATTCACTTTTGCTTGTCTGGTTTCAGCTAACTGCGGTTAAATGCGATTCTCTTTCTGCTTTCACTCTACAAAACATTCCTCCAAATTTTCTCTTAATTCCTCATAAGTTGTCTATGTATTTTTGCGAGTTATGAGCATAACTCTTGCCCAAAGCAAGGGCAGTATGCATTCTAAAAACTTTTTTGGCATTTAGGCAAAACGATCTCATCCGAATAAAATTAGTTTTCACGGATGATAATAACAGATCAAATCACTTTATCAGATCTAAGCTCTGTCACTAGGTATGCTAAAAGTAGCTCCAAAGGCATGCTTTGCTAATCCAAGATTCTGCAATGTTAGAAGCCATAATATTGAAATAGATTGATTTCTACACTTGATCAATTTGTCTTCCTTTCTAATTTTAAAAATCCCACTGGATTTAATTAAAATAAAACATTTCCAAGAGTGGATATCTTTTAATTGTGTGTGCCTGCATTGGCTGTATTGGATTCAGCTAACTTGTGCTTCTATTCATCTGAGAACTGGTTCATAGAACCTAGGCGAGGTCAAAACTGCAATTCACTCCAGCCCAGATAAGAACACCTTTTTGGGAAAATGAGGCTGTGTGAAATTCATTGGAGGCTTCCGCTCTACTCATATTATTGTGAAAAAATTCAACTACCAGTCCCTCATCACCTTAAACGAAATAGAGTGAATACACACGATATAACTGATTTACCTATAGCCCCTAAACCCTACTTATAGACGAAAAAAAGAGTAAAAGTTCCAAAGTAATTTGTATTCGAAATATGTTCCAATTGAAAATATCACATTCATTCTCCTATTTTACACTTAATTTGAAGACCCTATTAATTAATCTGGGGTAAGTCTATTTCCATACAGATCTGAGGATTCCGAAGCCCGATTATGCTCGATTCACATGATTTCGTACCAGATCAGCCTGATTTTCGTTGCTAGTTCACGCTTGCTAGTTTGCTTTGACTGACTTGTCATAATTATTGGGTTGACGAGCACCCTCATCCACCATTTCAGTAGTATGGCTCATTAAGTTCGCCAGGTGATCTTTTGTGAAGCCTTATTGATGAGCTAATTTCATTAGACCTAACTAAATGGCAAGTATAATGATTTCTTGAAATTTAATTAAGAGTAGTAATATTTCTTGTAGCTAAGAGAAACTCGGCGATCTAGACAACTTAGACAAGGGTGATTGAATGTGACTGCGCTGTTCATTTCATCGAAAAAGTTGGCTGGAAGGAATTAAGGAATTAGTCTCACCGGAACCGAAGGAAAATTGCCCTGAAATGTCTTGTCAAACTGTACAAAAATATTCGTAACTCACCATCTGCGACTCTGAAAAATTCTTGCAGACTTTTCGTCTTTCATGCGATAGACACCTTCAGAGCGAGAAGGCAATGCTTTAAGAGCAATTTACGAATTCTTTCCAACTAACGTTTCCTTCAAAATGAAAAGTCAGATCACACTAACGCACAAGCGATTGTTTGAAACCAAGATTTTCTGCATATATACAAGTTATTTGAGCAAGTGGGCCAGTGGTCACAACCAAAGCACCGGTCTTGGTGAGCCTCGAGACAAACGAGGGCTGATTAAGGCCTTGTTGACATAAGTCAACTCAAGCAATTAGTTATCTCAAGCCCTGAGGGAGAGTTTCTTGCCGAGAAAAAGGACCAGTAAAGTTCGTCTACCCTTGCCTTGTGCGGCAATGAGCTTTTATTCGCACGCTTGTTTTAAAATATAACTTATCAACAGCAGACAATTCCCATGCGATCTACACGAACGTGTGTGGGCGAACTTGTCTGTAGTCGAGACTGAGGGTGTATTTATTTCAACCAGCGTCGTCTACATACCTTTTATAGAGAGAACCGATTCACTTTTTATCATTATTTTATGTTAACAAACGACTCCGCCCCTAATTGACTCCATTCAGTGCCTTTGTAATTAATCAGGCCCTAGTTGATCGAAGTGTTCCACTCAAACTTGGCTTCAAAACCAGTGACTATGACCAATTTTGCTTGCAATATGGCTATTCCCTTTCTTACTCTCGTCAGTTGGAGCCTGACATTTTACTCTTTTTCTGATCCATTTCGCGTCATCATCGTCAGGCCAGTCTCTGCCAGATACTAAATTCATATCGCCAGAGGTAAAATCTAACAAAATTGGCCGATTAGCTGTACTCATAGTCTGTATGTGCCTTTTGCTAGTTGGTTCATAAATCGACAAAAATTCAAAGCTTGCCTCAATTTTACAGTCAAGTATTCAGGAAGAATGGCTTCATTTTACCCTACCCACATACTTTTCTTCAAGCTCTATCCTGCTGATGACACACGATTAAATGTATTGAGTTTGAGAATTTCTTTCGTTGATCTCCCCTTAATTCAGTCTTTTTTGTGTACTGAAGATTGCAATTGGCTGGGCACTCTAAAGAGCAAAGTTTAAAAGGTGTTCTTTTGAAATTTTTATTTTATTTAGTCTCAGTCGATGTGATAACTACCAATGTTAACGATGCGCTTTTCAGCTTCTATGAATCATTTGTAAGGCCTTCTAATGTGATAACGGAAGTCTCTCCGTCTGGGCTAAAATATGGGATGGTAGATATCAAATCTCGCGTTTCTCTGCTTTTAATGAAAACTTTGAGGCTTTTTAACCTCATGATCATACTCTATTTTTGAGGCTAGTAAATTATCGCTTGGATTCTTACTTATAATTATCTGACCCTCTCTTATCTATACGGCATGAGGCCTGCAATTTACGCTTGTATCAAACCTCTTCTTTAATACTACAGCCTGCATTGTCGGTCTCGCTTTGGCAGCTTAATCTCGTTATTTAGACGAATTAAAAAGGAAGCTCGTGACTGCTAGCTATGCTCCAGGAGAAGGCAACCCAAAGGAATAAGAGTATCGTGAGGTCCGGTCAGTCGAATACATTAGCACGTAAACTCGTCTGTTCAAATGTGCACGAAAGTCGTTCTCTTCCTGTTGCTAGCCGAATAAGTAAGGACTGAAACCCGACAACTTGGTTCTCGTCTGCAGGGTAAAGGATTCATGCAGGCTTTTAGCTTTTTATTTCTTTATCTACGCCTCTGGCTGTCTGCAGGTGTACACATGAATGTGCCTACGTTTATATCGTAATATTTGTGCAATAACTCTTGCTATATCTGTATCCACATCTATATGTTATTTTGTATGTATTGTATTTGCTAGCATCTGCACATATGCCATTTTATCTGAGCCGATTTGCTCGTAGCATCAAGTAGGCTGCAAATAACTCTTTGGGGCCAACGCATTCAGGCGTGAAATGTTCCGTTTGAAATTGGATAAAGTACTCGCAAGAGGTTAGACCTTCACTTTGAATTTAAGCAGAGGTATAATTTTTATACGCACCCTTATTCTTCAGTCACACAATCTATTCACTTGCATATTTATCGTCTATCTATGGCTTACTGTCTATTAATTTGTGCCCAGACTTCCTGGTATCAGAAGCTTATTCTCGTCTATTCTTAGGGCTATTGCCTTGGCTATGGCTTATATACTCAGGACCTGCGCTTTAGACTTGACATTTCCCACATGCATAATCTAACTCTCATAGCCATGTGTGATTTCTGCGCAAAATGAAACCCTGGCCGTACTTTAGTAAACCAGGGCTGCCTGACACAGCTGATTTAATGAATAATGCTGTCGACGCGGGGTCTTATGGAGGATCGGGGGGAAAAGGCTCTAGAAGGAGAATTTCCAGCCTTGGTCTGCGATGACATGAATATAATTTAAGATATCATACTTCTCATCTATTAT